GATTCAAGTCACGGAGTCACAAACTTCCTGACACACCTCTATTTGATTTGATTCGACTCATAAGATGTGATTCGAATTACATACCTAAAATCTCAAATTTTGAAGTTTTAAAGGTTGATTTGAGATTCTACTTGTGTCATGACTTGAATCAATCTCAAATATGTTTCTTGTTTCAAAAACTCGACTTATTGACTCAACATAATATTCATACTTAAACACAAACAATTTGAATTATGAATGCTAAAATATAAATCCAAAACACGATCCAAAAATGCACAACTGAAGAGGAGACTCAATGATATAAGACTAAAACCAAAATAAACCTTCAGAGATAAACAATAACAATAAAACCATATAGCAGAGACACGCATAGTCTCCCCCTTAATGTATCTGAGACATGCATCTTCGGTCTCCCATTTTTTAATGTTTGAGAAGCTTTCATTTAGAATTGAGTCGACATCAAGAAAACGATGAACATGTAGAACCTCATCAGAAGACAACACACTAAATATGGATTACTTGCTCATCATTATTAGTCTTGATAAAAATCCAATGGTTCTCACATTATGTGTCATGCCAACCAGGACCAGTTTTAACCATCCGTCAGATATATGTGCATCCTACATCATAACATGTTATTTTTTCAGTCACTCTTGCAAATTACACATTTCTGACCTCGCTAATCTAATTTTGGTGTTTGAGTGCTGACCTTGTACACACACACCCACTTCTCTGTACTAAAGACTCGTAGCACCGCACCGAACGACTTCATACCTACACATCATCCATCTTCTATTCCATGTCGGAATAATAAGTAAAGAAAAACTACTTACATAGTTACAGAAGATGGTGAAATACAAAAACGAGACAAATTGCGAAGAAGAAAAAAATAGACCCATTTTGCTACAATTGGTTAATAACAACCGGATTGAGAATTTAAGACTTAAAGAGATTATTCAGTCTAAATATTACTAAAACTTAAGAACCACTGTAAATGATTATTGGGTTTCTAACCATGTACGACATTACACCCCTGAGTGTAAATTCCCAGTAATAAATATCAAAATTACATAGATTAATAATGTCTGTGGTCTATCAACAAAATTGCATTTCAATGACTAGAATCACCACCCAATATAATGATCACAGTAAAAGAAAAAAAAGTTCACAAAATTGATGGTTTAAAGTTTCATTTATTCACCTATTTAATCTCAGCCTCATTCTCAATACTTTAATCTTTTTGTATATACTTATGTGCTGCAATGATATCATTGTTCAATACAAACCTGAAAAGAACAAACAAGAAGCTACATATCAACATAATAGTCGAAGAATTAAATTATACTGTCTCATGCAAATGTTGTTACTTTATATTGTTTCGTGGTAATTTTTGTGCCTGCGCATATATTACTAACCTTTGTGTTTTTGGAACATCTTACTATATGCTTTTTTCTCTAGATCAGTCCTATCCGAAATCTGCAACAGACATAACCAGTTAGATAGATTCGAGACGAGTATATATATATATAATTTTTCAATGCTTGTTTCAAAGACGCACTCACCTTCTTTCTCGCAGCAGCGAGTTCCTTTTTTATTCCAGCTGAATAGCAAGACATCAAGTAAATTACAAAAGGACAAAACAAAAGCTTGTTCCAAAATTGTATGGTCATAAATACTAACCATCATTTGGTTCCAATGTCAGTGCTTTCTTAAAGCTTTCAACTGCAGCATCAATGTCGTGGAGCACCATGTATGCCTGGTGAAATGGATGTAACATAATTATATGAGAAAAAAGCAGGACACATTAAATACCTGCAACTAGAAGCCTGACATAGTAAATGGTGAGAAACTCCTAGATGGTGATAAAAAGCTCTTCAATTGCCACACCAACCTGTCCTTGGCGGAATAAAGCTTTGGCATTATTATCACCTTCGCGCATCGCAAATTCTGTGTCCAACAATGCTCCTTTAATATCGCCTAATTTCAATTTACAAGCCTGTTAAAAAAAATTAGTAGAGTAAGAAACATTAACTATGAAAAGCTGACACAGACAACAGACATCAATTGTGAAGCACAAACACTTACGGAGCATTTACAGAGAACATTAATAAGATGCATCTTAAAATTATTTGTAAAAATGTACAATGTAGTAAATTCCAACTTACAGAGCTGTTTGTAAATATCTGAGACTTTGTTTTTCTCAAAAATGAACTTTTCTCTGCAAAGCCATATATGAAAACACTTATCATGTATAAAGAAGGTGCAGTACATTTGTTGCATAGTTACTACTGCACACTGCACAGTAAAGTGAAAAAATTAAACAGTAACAAAATAATGCATACCTTCATCAATCCCTTCCTTCTCCCAACAAATATCCAGGTAACGTAACGCCTTTCGATACTTTCTTAGAGCCATTTTGTACTCTTGTTTCTGTCGGGGCAAAATTCAATTAGAAACATTTCTTTCATATGATAGAAAATAATATATCTCATTTCATATAATAGGATAACTCATAACACCAATATACCTTGTAATACTCATTACCAAAAGCTTTGATTGAGTCAACAGATTTCAACCACCATTCAAGTTCACTCGGAGTCTCGGCAAGGTCTGCTGGCCAATCGGGATAAGTATCGCCGTCTTTAAAAAAGTTAGTTATACCATCATCTTCTCCTTCGAGAATTTCTCCACAATCCACAATTTTAACATCAAGAACAGGACGGTCCTTGTCTCCGGTCGTAACATGCTCAATTGAACGAACCACACCCATTCCTTTAACTATTTTCCCAAATACAACATGCTTACCATCTAGATGAGGCGTTCGGGTAGTAGAGATAAAAAACTGAGAGCCATTCGTATTAGGACCGGTGTTTGCCATTGATAACATCCCTTTCCTTTCATGCTTCATTTCAAAATTTTCATCTTCAAACTTAAGTCCATATATAGATTCTCCTCCGGTACCGTCTCCGGCTGATATATCACCTCCTTCTATCATAGAGCCTTTAAGAATACGATGAAAGCAAGTTCCCTAAAAATAATAAATATAAATTGAATCCATACTTTAGTAATCTTTGTTATATGCACTTCAATTCTGCTATAACATATTGAAGAACAAGGCTCAAAGATTTTAAAAAACCATCTGCGACCAGACTACGAAAACAGCAGTGAAAAAACAGTATTGGCAGGTAGTTTTTATGCTAAATAATAAATTATGAATAATTCACATCACGACGACTACCTATATGAACGGAAATCGCAACTTTTTTATGGATTACTGTAAAGTTGAGATCTTTAGAGACAGACAGCAACATAAAACAAATGTTCGAAACCCAAATATTGAATTTTGAATGAACAAAAAGAGTTAGAAAACATAAAACAACAAAGAAAGTCTAAAAAAGCAGTGATTGATAGGTGGAAAAGTAGAATTGATGGGTAAAAAGAAAGTACCTTAAAATGGAGGGGCATCCTAGTATTGGGACCAATGCCTTTTTCACCAGTACATAGAGCTCTGAAATTCTCAGCAGTTTTGGGTACAATATCGTTGAAAAGCTCAACCAATATTCTTCCTTCAAGTTCTTCGCCTATACTGATGTCTAAGAAGCACTGTGATCTCTTCATTTCTCTTTCTACAATGATTCGAAAAGTACTTGGTTCCTATGTTATTTGTTTTTTCTTGTAGTGGAGTATAGAAGAAGACCTTCTAGACCCTTCCCTGAACCACCATTTTGATATTCAAATAGTAACGACAAACAATCACAGAAACAAAGTGGATAATAATAATAATAATAATAATAATAATAATAATAATAATAATAATAATAATAATAATAATAATAATAATAATAATAATAATAATAATAATAATAATAATAATAATAATAATAATCAATGGTAACAATCAAACAAACTCTGATGCGTTACAATTCAATTATTACAATCAAAAGAGTAACGGAAAAATCAAGACAAAATCTGTATTTTTGAAAATAACATTTACTTTCACTTATCAACATTCCAAAAATAAACTCTGATCTCCAACAGATCTCTATTGTTCCGTCTATATAAAGGAGTCTCTCATAATCTTAAAGGATGCTCTTCTTCACGCAAAAACAGTTGTAACACTCAAAAGCTCTCTAACTTTTATATTGTTCATTGTATTGTAATCTTGTGTAAACATCACAGTTGTGATACAGCTTTTTAGAAGCAATCTTTGTAACACAACCTCTGTTTCAATTTGTTAAAATTCCTTAAGAAACCAAGTTATAGTTTAGTCTTAAGAAAATATTGACATTAGTGGATTAAGACCTCGTTGAAAGAGGCGAAATCATCTTGAAGGATGAACTGGAGTAGTAGTTTGAGTTCAAACGAATCAAGATAAAATCAAAGTGTTATTTTATTTAAGATTTTAAAACACCAATTCAAACCTTACTTCCTTGTATTTTTCTATACATCGATCAACAAGATTAAATGTCTTTAAATCTCAATTTTGTTTTTATTGCAAACTCAAGTGATTTTTGCCTTTTTTTTTATATTATTATTTTTTTCTCAAACCATTATATTTGTTTTGACTATCTCTTATGTTAATTTTTTTTTATAAATTTCTATTTACTTTATCATTTAGTTTTCTGCAAGAAAAGATCATTTAAGTTTATTTTATTTTATTTTAATTTTGAAGTGCTCTTGTTTGGGAGACAATTGACTTATGTTTATTATTATTTTATTGATTCCGGGTATAATTTACTTTTCCTTGTGTACAGAAACTTGAACCTAGAAACTAATCTAATATTGGTTGCAGATCTTTGGAATCATTCCATGAATTTATTTTCTTAATTTTTTTTTAGTGTTTTCTTCCCTAGGTCAAGCAGTCTGAAAGTTCTGATTTCTTTCATTTCATTTTGTCTTCAATAACTCTTTTTTAAGTAATACAAATTTTCAATTTGCATACTTCATCATTGATCTATTATTTACTTTCAGTATCACATTTGTCTTCAATTTGTTTGATTTTTTTCATAAATTTATTTTTATTTTACCATCATTATTTACTTTGAGTATCACATTTGTCTTCAATTTGTTTGATTTTTTTCATAAATTTATTTTTATTTTACCATCATCATAGTTTATTATTTTTATTTTTATTTTACCATCATGATTGTTTATTATATTTATTTTTGATTAATTTCTTTTGAAAAATGATATTAGGTCAAATAGTATTGTGTAATTTTGTTGAGTATATATAACAACAACTTATACATGAAAATTCTCATTCCTTTTTATGGATTTTGATCTTATGTTAAATAAGTAGGAGATTTAAAGTGATTTGGTAGTTTTAAAAAAAAAAGTATTTGGTATTTTCAATAAAAAATAAAATGATTTGATATTGCTACTAATTTTTTATGTGAGAGAATTTTTTATGTAGTTTCTACCTTTTTCATATACACTAATTTAAGCCTTGATCAAGATTTTTAAAATATTTTTAAGCAAAAGTGTATCATTAGATTAACAATTGATTGGGTAGTTATACACCTCCACTACATGATCATGACATGCTTTTTGATAATATTAAAAATTATGAAATTTTTGCTTTTCACAATTATGGAAACTAGTAGAAGACATGTAATACTAGAAAATTTGTTTTTAAGTAACTGAATTAGAGATTTATAAAAATTTAAAAATTGATTACTAAATTGTTCAATGACCGATTTAATGATCATTAATTTTAGTTGAAAAAATAATCATTAAATTTTTGCGATGAATTTAGTGATAGAAATTTAACGATCTTTTTATAAAATAAAAATAAAAGTTATTAATCTTAAGAATCGAATCCATGAGCTCTACAAATTTTAACAAAACTTTACTACTAGACCACTTAATATAATTTATTATATTTTATATTAAAATATATATACATATAATAAAGAAATATAAAATTTAAATAAAATTTTAAAAAATTACTATGATGTGAATATAAATATAAAATGATATATTTTTATGTAAGTAAGTATTTTATTGTTAAAACAATAAAAAAAATAAAAGTTTTACTAATAATTAAAATAGAATTAAATTTTAAAAAAATTAGAAGAGAAATAGTAACATAATAAAGAGGATTAAAATATAAAGAAAAAATATTAGTGATTGAAATATCAGTCTCTGATTCGTGATCGAAATTTTGGTCTCATTCGTGACCAAAGAGATGGTCACAAAATTTTAGTCATTAAATCGGTGACTGTTTTATTTTAGTGTCCGATTTAGTGACTAATTTAAAGTCGACTTTGAATATCAATTTTTAATGGTTAATTCGATCGCTACAGCGACTAAAATTTGTCGGTCACGAAATTAATGAATTTTCTAATACGTTCGTCAGCACGAATAAATTCATTTCTATCTTAAATCATTGTTGCTAATATATAATTATTATTATAAAATTATTAATAACTGCAAATATTCAAAAATAAATACGTAACAAATCACCAACATAATAAATTAAATATGTTTAATAACTATAAATATTTAAAAATATTACTAATAATTATAAACATTCATAAATATTTTATTGATTAAAATAAAAAAGAAATTGTATGATAATACCCCGTAAAATAATAATAGATTTTAATTATTAAAAATAAAATATAAAATAAAAAGATAAAAAATTTAATTAAGAGTTATTCCAACTGCATGTCAATATGAAATTAATATTAAATGTACCAAGTATATCATGAGAACTAATTATATACGTGTGAATTAATTGAATCCTGATTAGACTACAAGTAATTAATAATTATAAATATTTAAAAATAAATATGTTTAATAACTATAAATATTTATAAATATTATTAATAATTATAAATATTTATAAATATTTTGTTGATTAAAATAAAAATATATTTGTGGTGATAGTAATCTGTAATATAATAATAGATTTTAATTATTAAAAACAAAATATAAATTAATAATAGCTAGCACCAACATTAAACAACCAAGGTGCCAAATTGGTTACAATTTCAAATTTTGGTCATGAATCTCCTCCAACCGCAGCAAATATTACACCATTCTCAACTGCATGAAAAGTCCATACAAAAATCACATCTTCAAAAAGTCCCGTAGGACTGTTTTTACTTAAAGAACATAAAGTACAGCATCCTCAAAAAAGCTTTCATAATATAGATAATAGTTGCGCATTAGTGTGTTCAATCTGAATTGTATCAAACCAACACACTTTATAGCCAATGCCTTCACCCATATTGGACCATTGACATTATTCAACAAATATGTTTCTGTTTAAAATCCATATGCCGGCACCCTACAAAGCTAACCAAATATAACAATGGAACTCCGACGGTAAACTAAAAAAATAGGGCTTTCATCATGTTTTTGACAACTGGCTGTCTGATCCTCGCCTATTATTCAAAACTGAAAATGTCATGAGTTCACAAAATATTCAAGAAGAAGTAATACGGGTTTTTAGACGCTCCAATTGCATACGCTTCAATTGTTGTAAATATTATAATTGTTGATGTCCCTGAAATACTATAATCTCTTTGCTGGTGATTTTATTCCTAAAAATAAACTGTTGGTTAGTAGGCAAACTCACACGGAAAGATGAGGAATACAAATGACAAACATCTAAAAATAAACTGTTACTTAGGACGCAAACTCACACAAAAAGATGAGGAATACAAATGGCCAATATTGTACACACAAGTCCATCTATGGCAATAAAATGTGGTAGCTTCATTTGATCATCATCCCTGAATAGGACATAAATAGCCTACACGAGAAATAATAAACACGATTTAGAAAAATTCACCCGTTCATTCTATAATGCAATTATTTACGATTGTAGTTCTATATATATATATATATATATATATATATATATATATATATATATATATATATATATATATATATATATATATATATATATATATATATATATATATATATATATATATTTGTTTGATTATGTTACCTTTAAAGTCGGACCTGTCAAAATTATATAGTCGATATTTATCATGAAAAGATTGACATACTGCATAGTCCAAGTGAGGAAATATATTTTTTTACCTGCAATGAAAATGGAATAAACATAAGAAACTATGCTATGTTCTAAACCTAATTTCTCAGATTCGGCGAATACATATGTCGAGTCTCATCATCAATCGCTTCTCCTTCCTCAATACTCACACATCCAAAATCTTACAAGAGTCTCGCTACTGTCCACCATCTTAGTTCCCGTGAATCAACATCTTCAACCGCCATCGCCTTTGCGACGCCATGATTTGCATATTAGGAGATGAAAAAGTAAATGAATGGTAGTGAAAACATAGATGCAAGTAATATCGAAATGAAAACAAAGAACATGAACCTAAAATGGGGGAATAGGATTTGTTACGAAGCTTGTGAAAGTAACACATACCGACCTTAACTTACCGAAATAACTTGGTTTGTACTCGTCGAAGAGGATTCGGTGGTGGTACATGCTTGCGTTACCGTGACCTCCGGGATGATTTCGGTATTTTTTTAAAACGATTGTGACTAATGCTGACACGGCCTCTCTTCTTCATGTTCTTCTTGAACCTGGTCGTCATCTTCTTAGAATTATTCTCTTTGGATGATGTGTA